CAACATAATGAAGTGAAAAAATCCTGTCAGTCAACTTTGCTGTTGCCTTATTATTCTCCAGTCGTTTCCCTGGTTGTTGTAAGGTTTTTACTATATTCCAGAGCTCTGCAGAGTTGATTGAGAGTGCTGTGGCATTTTAAATTGCATACCTACTAGCCTCCACACCCAGATCAGTGGTGACCAGGATGATAGAAGCCCACACTCCTAGTGCAGGTTGCTAACGCTAGAGGGAGCAAAGAATTGTGTTTGTGGGTTTTAATCTGGCTAGCTGCTCCCTGGACCAACATAGGGGCCTACCTTTGTATCTTTTGACTGGGAATATTCCCAGAGCTGGGGTGGCTTTTGCCAAAAGCACTTAAAAGCACAGTTATTGTCTGCAGTAGCCTGGAGCAAAGGAAAACAGTTCAGACAATCGGTAGTGAGACTGAAAAGCCTGAGAAGGAAGACATTAGAAAAGAGATACTTGGGGAAAAAGAGCTTTTTAAAAAGCTGCCATATATACCAGGAAATGAAGAAGGTCATGCACATGCCCAGAAGAGGCCAACAGAAACCCTAAGCTTTCTCTTCTGGCTCTGAGTAAGCAGGAAGTGAAGACTGAGGCAGAGTTGTGAATGGTCTGGTCAAACTTTGAGGAGTGTCCTAATGCAGAGCCAATCTGCAAAGACTAGGAGTGTATTTTCTCTCTTTTCCCATTTATTTTTTGCTCCAGGTCTTTAAAAAAAAAACTGTCAATATGCTAGTTGGTCGCTAAGCTAATAGAACATAGATTCAAGTGACCACATGTGATGAAGAATACAGTCTTTACAAAAAGAGTTTATAAAAGTCACTAAACACACACACACACACACACACAATAAATCCACAAAAGGCAACATCAGCCAACCTCTGGGTATTGGCGGGGGTGGAGAACAATTTGATTTCCATAGTTGCTACATAATATTCAGTATGTCCAGTTTTTAACAAGAAATAATGAGGCATGGAAATAAACAATGTTAAGTGACTCATTGACAGGAAAAAAGAAATTAATAGAAACTTTCTTCGAGGACGTTAGGCAGTGGATTTACTAGATAAGATTTTTTTTTTTTTTTTGGAGACGGAGTCTCCCTCTGTCACCCATGCTGTAGTGCAGTGGCACAGTCCTGGCTCACTGCAACCTCTGTCACCTGGGTTCAAGCGATTCTCCTGCCTCAACCTCCCGAGTATAGCTGGGACTACAGGTGTGCGACAGGGTTTTACCATTTTGGCCAGGCTGGTTTCAAACTCCTTACCTCAATTGATTCGCCTGCCTTGGCCTCCCAAAGTGTTGGGATTATAGGCATGAGCCACTACGCCTGGCCTAGATAAGGAATTTAAATCAAGGGTCCTAAATTGTTTTATGAGCTAAAAGAAACCAGGAGTGTGCTGTCTCACCAAATAGAGAACATCCATAAAGAGATGCCAGATTATAAAAAGGAACCAAACACATTCTCGAGTTGAAAAGTACAATAACTGAAATAAAAAATTCACTGTAGAGGTTCAGCAGAAGATTTGAGCAGCCAGAAGAAGCCAAGACAAAGAAATAAAAAACACTGGTTAAAGTAACTCTAGGTAAAATATAAAAGCCAGCATTACATTTGTGGTTTATAACTCCTGTTTTTTTCCTATATAATTCAGAAGACAAAGACATAAAATAATAATTATAAATGTTTAAAAAATATTTGACTTATTTTAGATTCGGGGTACATTTATTACCTAGGTATATTGTGTGATGCTGAAGTCTGGGGTACAATTTATCCCATCACCAGGTTATAAATCTGACAAATGGCACACTATAAAAATGTAATTTGTTTCTGAAGACACTTCAAAAAAAAGAAAAAAAAAGTAATTTGTAACTAACAATAGATGGGGAGGGTCAGAGATGTATAGGTGCAGAGGTTTTATACACTACTGAAGTGAAGTTGGCATTAATTCAAACTAGGTGGTTTTGAGTTTAAAATGTTAATTGTTATACCCAAAGGAACCACTAAGAAAATAATTAAAAACTAAACAGAAAAGAGGAGCAGGGGATCAAAATGGTACACACACAGAAAATCAAACAAAAAAGGCAGTGATGGAGGAAATGAGGAACAAAAATATGACAAATAGAAAACAGCAAAATGGTAAAAGTTCATACTTATCTGTAATTATTTTGAATGTAAATGGATAAAACTAAAAGGCAAGAGTTTGGCAGGATGTATAAAAAAGCATGATACAACTATGTACTGTGTATAAGGAACTCACTTTAGATCTAGAGATACAAATAGTTTGAAACTGAAAGTATGGAAACATATTCTGTGCAAGCATTATGCTGAAGAGAACTAGGGTGGCTATACTAATATGAAAGTAGACTTTAAGACAATTTTTCACAATGAAAGACATTATATAATGGTAAAGTGAATAACCCATTGAGAAGAAATAACAGTTATAAACATACATGTACCAAACAACAGAGCCTTAGAGAATTTGAAGCAAACATTGACATAATTGAAGGAAACATAGTTCTGTAATTATTGGACATTTTCATACCCTACTTCCATTAATGGTTAGAATAACCATTACTTGACAAAAGATGAATAAGAAAATAGAAGACTTGAACAAGGTTATAAACCAATTAGACCTAATATATAGAACATTACATCCAACAACAGCATCTACATTCTCAATGCACATGGAACATTATTTAGAAGAGAAAATATATTAGGCCACAAAACAAGTCTCAGTTGAAATCATACAAAATGTCATCTCTGATCACAACCGAATGAAACTAGATTGCAACGGCAGTGGGAGTAGTGAGTAATATGAAATTCAAAACTGGGAGGATAGAGGGAGAATAGTCTGGAAGCAACAATAAAAAGCAAAAAGAAAACTGCCACATCACCTCCAGGCCCGGTGGTGTGAGGCGTCTGAGGAAAACAGCTACCATTTAACTGGGTTACAATGGCAGTGGTGTTCTCAGGGTGAACCAGGCTCTTATGTGAACACCACAGTAAAAAGAACCTTTAGATGAGGTTTGGATATAGAGAATTTTGCTGAGAATGGATCATGAATTCCATAAGGTAGGATGGGACAGACAGGGATTGTGCATAACAGTATGTGGATGAGAGTGTGGGTCATATTGTGGTGGTTTATTTAAATAAGGATGACGGGAGTAATGAATGTGACCCTGGTACATTCAAGTCAGGTAGTGGAGGAGAGGTTGTCAATAAGTTAAATAAGTTTTCATGAGTTTGCTTTGAAACCCTGGCCACAGTTTGTTTAGTATCAAAATGTTTTGATACTAAATAGCCATTTATAAACATTCATTTTTACATGTTTTAAAAATTTTTTCGAGATGGAGTCTCTCTTTGTCACCCAGGTTGGAGTGCAGTGGTGTGATCTGGGCTCACTGCAGCCTGTGCCTCCCGGGATGAGTGATTCTCCTGCCTCAGCTTCCCAAGTAGCTGGAATTACAGGTGCCCACCACCATGCCCGGCTAATTTTTGTATTTTTAGTAGAGATGAGGTTTCACCATGTTGGGCAGACTGATCTCGAACTCTTGACCTCAGGTGATCTGCTCATCTTGGCCTTGCAAAGTGCCAGGATTACAGGTGTGAGCCACCGTGCCTGGCCTATAAACAAACATTTAGAATTAGGAAACTATTGTTACATTGAAGACATCTCATCTGTTTTATTTATTTATTTTAATTAAAATTTTTTTTAAATTTTTTTGCATTCTGTTTTTTTTTAGCTACTGCAAAATCAACATCTCATCTGTTTTAAAAAATAGAGTGAAACAATGCCTTCTATAAATGATATGCATTAGTTTGGTTGGCTTTGTATTTATTTGCATAATAATCATAATTGTCAGAGGAACCTTACATACAAAAGGCCTCATTTTCAGTATTGAGTATAAACAGAACATAGTGTATTGTCACTGTTTGCTTTTTATTCACATTTGGCCAGTTAGTTATTGCCAGTTATTCTCACTTCACTGTTCCATTCATCTGACCTCAGCAGTGTAAAAATGAGCTTTGAAAATTTATAGCATTCAAAGATTCTTCTGTTTCTATGTAGGGTCCCCATGGCTGGCCTGAAATTGACTTTGCCATTCTGTATTTTAAGACATCGATTTATTCATCTGTAATATTTATGTAACACCTGTTTTGTGGGGAATGTCAACTGACAGCCAGATATACTTAGCATAAAACCCAAGAAAGCAAATTATAGGAAGAAAAATATAAAGCAAATGTTGATGATTGTTCTGCACTTCTCAGTTTGTCTGTCTGCATCTCCACTGAGAACTAACTTGAAAAAGCAAGTTAAGAAAACAGACATATATCAGCCAGGTGTGGTGGCTCATGCCTGTAATGTCAGCACTTTGAGTGGCTGAGGTGGGAGGATTGCTTGAGCACAGGAGTTCGAGATCAGCCTGGGCAACATAGTGAGACCCTATGTCTATTAAAAAAAAAATAGCCATTTGTGGCATGTACCTATAGTTCCAGCTACTCAGGAGGCTGAGGTGGGAGGATCACTTGAGCCTGGGAGGTCAAGGCTGCAGTCAGCCATGATCATGCCATTGCACTCCAGCCTGGGTGACGGAGTAAGACCCTGTCTCAAAAAACAAAAAACAAAAAACACAAAAACCAGAAAAGAAAACACACATGTAAACAAAACTGCAGACTAAATCTTGTGCATTATGAAATCTCACTTATTCTGTTTAATTGTTAGATTTTATTTAAATGTTAACATGCACTGTAAATTGTGTTCATTTTTGAAATTGCTTTCCTTGTGTTCTTTAGAAGATGTTCCAGTGTGAAAGGGGATGTTGGGATAATCTTGTCTTAAATTCAGATGTTTGGTAAGATAAGAGCAATGAAACATTTTCTTGGCCTAAAGTATTTGATCTAATTGTTCTTAATTATTGGTAGGTGAAGGATATTGCTTTAATTATCCTTTCTGCACTAAGTGGAAACTTTTTTTTTTTTTTTTTTAAATATTTCTAGGAACCAAATGGCGAGACACCATCATCTTTATACAGAGTTGCAGCCGTACTTCTACAATTTAATCTTATTGATTTAGATGATCTTTATGTACATGTAAGTCTAGTGGGCTGCTAAGAATATTTGGTTGTCTGTCCAAAGGGTGGGGAAGAGGAGTTAGTAGCCACACAGCACCCCCAGGGTTGGTTCGGTTCTAGGTTCTCAAGTTTTACTCTTTGAAGCCCCAATACATTGTTGCTTTGTGTTTACTCTATAAAGTGAATGAATTTAGTTCTTTTCAGCAGTCTATGAAAATTAAATACCTTTTTGGTCACTTTTACGAAGTTGCAGTTTGGATATGAAGTTCAAGTTCTTAATTGTCATCAAGGCATATCTCGTGGGGAGTGAGGCCAAGTTCTAACCAATGTGGTTTTAAGCCTCTTTATTATCTACAAATGATGGGAAATACAGGGTTACCTTTATACTGTTTCTTTCTCTCTAAAATATTAATTTTAGGCATTCAGGATGAATGGGGAACTTTGTTAGTGTATTTTTATTTTTAGTATATGTAAAAAATATTTTTCTTGTGTTATTCCTGTGTACTAAATGACTTATGCTTTTACTGTTGTGACAGATGGACCTTTAGTTTAATGACAATTTAGCCATCAGCTTTAAAATCTAGGCTAATAGTATATAAATTCCTCTTCTATTAGGTTTTGCATTAGGATATCAATTAATTATTATTATTTTTTTTTTTGAGACGGAGTTTCGCTCTTGTTACCCAGGCTGGAGTGCAATGGCGCCATCTTGGCTCACCGCAACCTCCGCCTCCCGGGTTCAGGCAATTCTCCTGCCTCAGCCTCCTGAGTAGCTGGGATTACAGGCACGTGCCGCCATGCCCAGCTAATTTTTTGTATTTTTAGTAGAGACGGGGTTTCACCATGTTGACCAGGATGGTCTCGATCTCTCGACCTCGTGATCCACCCGCCTCGGCCTCCCAAAGTGCTGGGATTACAGGCTTGAGCCACCGCGCCCGGCCTCAATTAATTATTTTTTTGAGATGGAGTTTCGCTCTTGTTGCCCAGGCTGGAGTACAATGGCGTGATCTCTGCTCACTGCAACTTCTGCCTCCCGGATTCAAGTGATTCTCCTACCTTAGCCTCCTGAGTAGCTGGGATTACAGGCGCTTGCCACCATGCCTGGCTATTTTCTTTTTTCTAATTTTTAGTAGAGATGGGGTTTTGCCACGTTGGTCAGGCTGGTCTTGAACTCCTGACCTCAGGTGATCTGCCTGCCTTGGCTTCCCAAAGTGCTAGGATTATAGGCATGAACCACTGCACCCGGCTGATATCTATTAATTTAAAACAAATATATCCAAAGATGATATCATCTTCAATGCCTTTGAAATCACTTTATTAACATCATTGCCTATTTTTGTATACTGTGGCTACAGGTTGAATAAAACTTGGTCTCTACCTTGGAAATAGTCATAGTCTAGCAAAGGACAAAAACATTTTGCATTATTTAATAGGTACTCTATTGGAGACATTCACAAAGCTCAGAATAGATAGTGACTCTATCTGTCGGGGCGGGGGTTTGGAAGACTTTCCCAGACTAGTGATGTTGAACTGGGATCTTGATAGACAAGTAGGGTCATCTAGGCTGAAAAGGTAGAACACTTTGTAGGTAGAATGAACTGAGTAAAGGCAGGAGATTTAAAAAAATTTTTATTTATTTATTTATTTATTTATTTATTTATTTGAGGCTGGGGGGAGATGGAGTCTCATTGTCGCCCAGGCTGGAGTGCAGTGGCACAGTCTTGGCTCACTGCAACCTCCCCCTTCTGCGTTCAACCTATTATTTTGCCTCAGTTTCCCAAGTAGCTGGGAGGCGCATGCCACCATGCCTGACTAATTTTTGTATTTTTAGTAGAGGTGGGGTTTCACTGTATTTTTAGTAGAGACTGAGTTTCAGCATGTTGGCCAGACTGGTCTTGACCTCCTGACCTCAGGTGATCCGCCTGCGTGGCCTCGCAGAGTGCTGGGATTACAGGTGTGAGACGCAGTGTTGGTCAAGGTGGGAGATTTGAAAAGGCTTTTTTATCCCTTTATGGGACTGTCAGGAAGCTCAGAGTGGTTGGAGCCTAGGGTAATAGATAGGGGGAATGAGGATGGAATAGATAAGAGCTAAACTGTTAAGGGCTTAAGTGACATAGGAAGGAGTCTGGATTTTTCTTTTGGGAGTGGAGAACCATTTAGTACTTAAAGGAGAGATGTGATATACAAATAGAATATGGAAAATTGGTCAGAAAGGGAGAATTTGAAAACAGAGGTATGACTTCAGAGGGAAGTATAGACTGGCATATGTGGAAAGTACAAATTGATAGATTTATTACTGATATGATTGCATTTAACACTAAATGTAAGCAGACGAAGTGCTCCTGTTAATATGACAAGGATTGTCAAATGGGATTAAAAATTAGTTTATTATTTGATAAACAACTGAAACCTAAGGATAATGAAATGTTGATAGTAAAAGGATGAGAAAATATATCAGCAAACTTACTATTGTTGGACAAAATAGACTTTTTGGCAAAAGAAGATAAAGAGGGCCACTTCATAATAACGAGGTTGGCCGGGCGCGGTGGCTCATGCCTGTAATCCCAGCACTTTGGGAGGCCGAGGTGGGTGGATCACGAGGTCAGGAGATCGAGACCATCCTGGTCAACATGGTGAAACCCTGTCTCTACTAAAAATACAAAAAAATAGCTGGGCATGGTGGCGCGTGCCTGTAATCCCAGCTACTCAGGAGGCTGAGGCAGGAGAATTGCCTGAACCCAGGAGGCGGAGGTTTCAGCGAGCCGAGATCGCGCCATTGCACTCTAGCGTGGGTAACAAGAGGGAAACTCTGCCTCAAAAAAAAAAAAAAAAAAAAAAAAAAAAATCATAATAACGAGGTTGTGTTCACTAGCAAGATAAAACAGTTCTAACTTCTCATGTACCTGATGACATGTTCTCAAAATACACAGAAATACAAGTTGAGAGAACTATATGAAGAAACAGTTTGTAATCGTCTGGGTAAAAGATAAGGACCTATGGCTGGGTGCGGTTGCTCACACCTGTAATCCTAGCACTTTGGGAGGCTGAGGCAGGCAGATCACCTGAGGTCAGGAGTTTGAGAGCAGTCTGACCAACACGGTGAAACCCTGTCTCTACTAAAAATACAAAATTAGCTGGGCGTGGTGGCACATGCCTGCAATCCCAGCTACTTGGGAGGAGAGCTGGAGAATTCTCCTGAGGCAGGAGAATCGCTTGAACCTAGGAGGCAGAGGTTGCAGTGAGCTGAGATCACACCATTGCCCTCCAGCCTAGGAAACCGGGGGTGAGGGGGCGGGCGCGGGTGAAAAAAAAAAAAAAGGACCTGTGTCAGGTGTATAAGTACAGCAATAAAAACGTGTTTGATTGCCAGGGGAGAACATACAAAATGAGGAAAAGTCTTGCTTACTTCTTGGCACCAGTCCATAGCGACTTTCCTCTCTCTCTCTCTTTTTTTTTTTAAATTAATGGAATGAAATCTATAATGTTTACTATTTCATTGTTTTCATTTACCGTTCACATTAAACCTAGTTAATGAAATAGATTATGCATTTGTAGGGGGTAGGAACACTTACAGCTTATAGTGACTAGCAGAAACTACTAAGTAATGGTTTGTTGGCTGAATTTTTCTTTGTGTCAGGGTTATTTTATATATGTCTACATTAATTATCTTCCGCTCGTACAAGGTGACTGTACATGAGATACTTGAGCCTTTTTCATAATGGAGGGTTGACTATGCACATAGTTATTTTCTTTTGCAGTAAACTAGTAACTAGCTTGTGACTTGAGTTTAATAAGCTCCCAGAAAAAAGTGAGATGTCCAGTTACTAATAATTTTTTTACTTGAAAATTTTCATTTAGAGGATTTAAATTAATCCCTTTGTGTTATTCAGCAGCTCACTTCTCCAAAATTGGATCTATATTGCAGTGCTCTATTTGATTTGAACTTTAGCGTTTAATGGGGAAATTTGTAATGTTTTTAATAGAACTATATATTTTCTTGGGTAAATTAATAAACTTAATGGTAAACATCACTGTTGTGGTATTATATTACTTTAGGGACTATCAGAAGATGTGAAACTTTGAGCTGCGACTTGATTTTAAAAGGCGTTTAGAATTCAGGTACTCAATTCTGTGAAAATAACTGAAATTTACTTTGAAGGCAAATAATCATAAATAAGTCTTCTTATTTATAGTTTTATCAGTTAAAAATTGTTTGCTTTTTATATGAGCAAGTAGTAGGTATTAGGTGTTATATGAAATTTTAATGAACCATTTTTAGCTTCTTCCGGCTGATAATTGCATTATGGATGAACACAAACGAGAAATTGCGGAAGCTAAGCAAATTGTTAGAAAACTTACTATGGTTGTGTTGTCTTCTGAAAAAATGGATGATCGAGAGAAAGAAAAGGAGAAAGAAGAGGAGAAAGTAGAGAAGGTATGTAATTCATTCTAGTAAAATTAACACTGTCTTTTGGATTTTGAATTACGAATTTTTTTTTTTTTTTTTTTTTTTGAGACGGAGTTTCGCTCTTGTTACCCAGGCTGGAGTGCAATGGCGCGATCTCGGCTCACCGCAACCTCCGCCTCCTGGGTTCAGGCAATTCTCCTGCCTCAGCCTCCTGAGTAGCTGAGATTACAGGCACGTGCCACCATGCCCAGCTAATTTTTTGTATTTTTAGTAGAGACGGGGTTTCACCATGTTGACCAGGATGGTCTCGATCTCTCGACCTCGTGATCCACCCGCCTCGGCCTCCCAAAGTGCTGGGATTACAGGCTTGAGCCACTGCGCCCGGCTTTTTTTTTTTTTTTTGAGACGGAGTTTCGCTCTTGTCACCCAGGCTGGAGTGCAATGGCGTGATCTCGGCTCACCGCAACCTCCGCCTCCTGGGCTCAGGCAATTCTCCTGCCTCAGCCTCCTGAGTAGCTGGGATTACAGGCACGCGCCACCACGCCCAGCTAGTTTTTTTGTATTTTTAGTAGAGATGGGGTTTCACATGTTGACCAGGATGGTCTCGATCTCTCGACCTCATGATCCACCCGCCTCGGCCTCCCAAAGTGCTGGGATTACAGGCTTGAGCCACCGCGCCCGGCCTGAATTACGAAATTTAACTTCTAAATAGTCAATTATGGAAGAATAATTTCTTAGTTTTCATTTTGCTGAAACCTCATTTCTGCATCATTTGCTACAGTGATTTTATTTTTAATCTGAATGGTACCTTTTTAAGAGAAGCTGTCATATTTTTTCTTGTATAAATTTCAAAATGTTTTCTAAGTAAAATCACAAGATGTATTGACTTTATCCTTTTTGTATTAGTGGCCCTCAGATCCTAAAGGGATTCTCAAAGATGATGAATTCTGGTTTCCTGTGGCATGTCATAACATTAAGTAGAACTTAATTCCAAGTCTGTAAACTGTAATGCCTGTGTATGCTAAGGGAAAAAGCAGATCTTGGTTTTTTTCTCTCTTTTTTTTTTAAATTATTATTACTTTTGAGACAGGGTCTCACTTTGTAACTTGGGCTGGAGTGCAGTAGCGTAATTACAGCTCATTGCAGCCTTCTACCTCCTGGGCTCAAGTGATTCTCCCGCCTTAGCCTCCTGAGTAGCTGGAACTATAGGCACGTGCCACTATGCCTGGCTGATTTTTGTATTTTTTTGTAGAGATGGGGTTTCGCCGTGTTGCCCAGGCTTGTCTCAAACTTCCTAGTTCAAGTGATCTGCCCACCTCGGCCTCTCAAGTTGCTGAGACTATAGGTGTGAGCCAATGCGTCTGGCCTTGATGTTTTTTCAATAGCTAAAAATTTTGATTGTACTTTCAGGAAAATACTGTTCAATTTCCCATGAATAGCAATTTTTTTTTTGACGTGTTGCTTAGCTCAATTTTTTAAGTGAAAAAGTATTAAGATTTCTTAATGTCTGTATCCTGTGTATCTTAGTTTTGACTATTCATTTTTAGCCACCTGATAACCAAAAACTTGGCTTGTTGGAAGCCTTATTAAAGATCGGTGACTGGCAACATGCACAGAACATTATGGATCAGATGCCTCCATACTATGCAGCTTCACATAAGCTAATAGCACTTGCTATTTGCAAGCTCATTCACATAACTATTGAACCTCTCTACCGAAGGTATGTGACTGTATACTTTACTAATCATTGAGGTAGAAATAGTTTGGGACTACAACAGAATCTATATGTGTATTGATCTTATCTCCTCAAACCAAGCCTGTATTTTAGTACCTTTTATCAAAAGATAAGACCTGTTCACAGAATGTATCAGTCTAATGCATATAAATCAGCGACTTGTCTTCTAACGTCTAGACCAGGGGTTTTAGAATTTGTGCTGCTGTGTAGTCTAAAAACTATAGGTTAGACTTCTAGGTTGGGTTAGTTCCTTTGAGAGTTGCAACTCCAATCTTCTGGTTTTGACTTTTCCTCCTCTCAGTAGGTGGGAGGGGCAAAGAATTCCTGAGGTTTTTTTCTTAGTATAATTTTTCTCTATCCTGGCTGAGTGGCTCTGAGTGAGGACATTGCTTCTCTGATTCTCTCATCTTTCCTGGCATATAGGCTGCTGTTCCAGAAATTACTAGTGCAGCCTCCCTTACCATCCCCAGTTATTGTGTTGTCTAGTCCTTTAGCTTTCTGCCTACTTACTGGGTACTTAGGAGCACTATTTTTTTTTTTTTTTTTTTTTTTGAGACAGAGTTTCGCTCTTGTTACCTAGGCTGGAGTGCAATGGTGCGATCTCGGCTCACCGCAACCTCCACCTCCTGGGTTCAGGCAATTCTCCTGCCTCAGCCTCCTGAGTAGCTGGGATTACAGGCACGCGCCACCATGCCCAGCTAATTTTTTGCACCTTTAGTAGAGACGGGGTTTCACCATGTTGACCAGGATGGTCTCGATCTCTTAACCTCGTGATCCACCCGCCTCGGCCTCCCAAAGTGCTGGGATTACAGGCTTGAGCCACCGCGCCCGGCCTTAGGAGCACTATTGACAGCAGCTCTGGCTACAGCCCCATAGATGAGAGCCTGCCTCAAAAGCTTCAGCCTTGTGACTTTTGTGTAGCTGCTGGTTGCTGCCTTCAGTGTCACCTCATGGGCTGTGGACCATGCAGGCTTCTTAGAGGGTGACCCCTGTGATTCCACAGTGGGACACCAGCTAAGCAGGTGAGAACTCTGGGTATGCTGTCCTAAAGTGACCCTCTTTTATTACACAGCTGACTTTCCCTACCACCCACCACCTTTTGCATACTCTTATTTGTGGAATCCAGATTGAGAAATGTCAGTTGACTTGAATCAGTGTTGTTATATCCATATTTTTCTGTTTCATCTCCTGATGTATCTTAGGTTCATCCCTTGTTTCTCATTCCCATATCCAAGTTCTCAATATTGGCTAATTTTAAAAACAAGAGTCAGATGGTGTATGTTAAATGTTCTGTGAAATCTGCACTTCTCTGAGTAAGCAGTTAATTTGGAACATTCTCCTCTGAGCTCTGATTTTTTTTTTTTCATTAGAGACTGTTGTTTTTATGTGTTTCTACCAGTTGAGAATTATCTGGTATAATAAAGTTAGGCACAATTGAAATGTAGAAAGCAAATATGAGCAAGAAAAATTTCACTGTTTAAGATAACTGTGTTAAAATGGTAGGTATTTTAGTATGTGTGTGTATATACTTGTATGTATTTATTTATTTTACTTTTTATAATAGAGTTGGTGTTCCTAAAGGTGCTAAGGGCTCACCTGTTAATGCTTTGCAAAACAAGAGGGCACCAAAACAAGCTGAGAGTTTTGAAGATTTGAGGAGAGACGTGTTCAATATGTTCTGTTACCTTGGTCCCCACCTTTCTCATGATCCCATTTTATTCGCAAAAGTGGTGCGCATAGGCAAGTCATTTATGAAGGAGGTAAGTAAGATTTTTGTTACAAACAGATACAAATTTTGAATTGAAAATGTTCTGAATATACTTGTGTTATGAGTATCTTTAGAAATAAAAATGAACCCCATTTAATAAAGGGTTATGTTGAGTGAGGTTTGCGGAAAAGTCCAATGTGTCCTAACCATATACAGTCAAGTGTTGCTTAATGATAGGTGAGAAATGCATCATTAGGTGATTTCATCATTGTGCAAACATCATAGAGTGTACTTAAACAAGCCTATATGATGTGACCTACTACATACCTAGGCCATATGGTATGGCCTGTTACTCCTAGGCTACAAACTGGTACAGAATATTATTGTATTGAATACTGTGAGCAGTTGTAATACACTGTTAAGTATTTGTGTATCTGAACATATCTAAACACATAAAACCGTGCACTAAGATGTTCAGTTGTGATATCACTCGGCAATAGGAATTTTTAAACTCTATTATAATGTTCTATGACCCTGGTTGTATATGTAGTCCATCATCAACCAAAACATTATTAAATGGTGTATAACTGTATATATTAATATAACCCAAATCTAGCTAGATTATTAGTCAAGTCACTCACATAGGAAAATATACTTCAGACAAGTGGCTACTTTTTGAATGCCCTTATAATTAGTGGTTACTTAGCATTCTTTTCCTTTGCTTACCTTCTAGTCATTTTCTTGGCTGTAGTTTTCAGTCATTGCTGCTATGTGTAAGAAGTCTTTTCAGCCTCAGACTGTTGAGGACCCATTCTTTTCTTTTTATTTTTTAGTAAGCTTTTCATTGAAATAAAACATACATGTGGAAAAATACAGCTCAGTGACTTTCCCCAAGCTAAGCACCCATGTGTCCACTACCCAAATCAAGAAATAGAATAGTACCAGCAACCTGGAGTCTTTCTTATACTCCATTCTAGTTACTATCCTAACCATAACCGTTTATACTTTTTTTTCAAAATCAGCTTTGAGGTATAATTTAAATACAGTAAACTTCTACAATTTTAAGCGTACAATTTGATGAGTTTTGACAAATGCATACAGTTGTGTGTTCACCACCACAATTAAGATAAAGAAGTTCCCTCCTTCCACTGGTGTTCCTGGCAGCCTCTGATAGGCTTTCCATCACTATAGTTTTGCTCTTTCTACAACTTAATTAATAAATGGAATCATATGGTATATACTCTTTTCTGCCTAGTTTCTTCCACTTGGGCTTTTGAGTTTTGTCCAAGTTGTATGTGTCAGTAGTTCCTTTATTGCTGCATAATATTTTGTTATATAGATGTGCCAGAGTTTATCTAGCCACCAGTTGATGGGCATTTGGGTTGTTTTTACTTGGAGGCTATTATAAAGCTGCTTTGAATATTCTTGCACAAGCCTTTTGGGAGGCATGTGTTTTTGTGTCCCCAGAAGTGGGATTGATGGGTCATATGAGTAACTATATATTTAACTTCATAAGAAATTGCCAAACTGTTCCAAACTGTCTATATCGTTTTGCATTCCTAGGAGCAATGTGTGAGACTTCTAATTGTTCCACATTACCACCAATACTTGGTGTTGCCACTCTTAAGTTTTAGTCATTCTAGTAGGTAGGTAGTGGTATTTCATTGAGCTTTTAATTTTGTTACGGTGACTAGGGAAGTTGATAATCTTTTCATGTGCTTATTTGCCATTTTTAGTTATCTTTACTGAAATGTCTGTTTATGTCTCTTGCCCATTTTTAAGTTGGGTTATTTGTCTTTATATTGATGAGTTCTAAGAGTTCTTTATATATTCTGGATGCAAAGCCTTATCAGATACGTGATTTTTGGAAATTTTTTTCTTAGTCTGATTTGCCTTTTCATTTTGTTAACTATCTTTTGACAGCAAAAAATTTTAACATTTGATTAATTTCAATTTAGTAGTATTTTTCTTTCATAGCTTGCTTTTCATGTTACAAGAAATCTTTGCCCAGCTCAAAGTTTTAAAGCTGAAAAGAATTATACATAGTTTCTTTAAAATTGTAAAACATGACAACCAAAAAACATCTAGACATTTTTATAAGCACAAATGCAGGGTGTCTTCAGTGTTTAGTGATTATACCTAATTTAATTTTAGACAATAGTAACTGTATAGAAATATTAACAGCTATTGTATATTAATTTATTGACATCTGAAATATTTGACTTGGCTTTTTATACTTAGCTGGTAGGTTTTTTTCTTTGTTTTTGAGATAGGGTCGCATTCTCATGAAGGCCAGAGTGTAAGTGGCACCACCATGGCTCACTGCAGCCTAGATCTCTTAGACTGAAGTGATCTTCCCACTTCAGCAGCCCAAGTAGCTGGGATCACAGGCGTATGCTGCCCTGCCTGGCTAGTTTTTAAAATATTTATAGAGACAGAGTCTCCCTATGCTGCCTAGGTAGATTATTTTTAATGCTCACAAGTTTACATTATGTAAAGGTACTCTAAAGAAATCTGTTAAGTAGTTACTTATTACTATATTGTTATTAAATAACATGTGAAATGGAAGTACATCATTTCTAAATGTTGGGAACATTGTAAGTCCTCTGTTTTAGCTATTTTGAAATATACCAATACATTGTTGTTAACCGTAGTTACCCTACTCTGCTATTGAACATTGGAATTCGTACCTTCTATCTAACTGTGTATTTGTACCTGTTAACCAACCTCTGTTTATTCCCCCTCACTCGCAGCTTCTGTTATCTGTCATTCTGTCTTCTCCCTCCATGAGACCAGTTTTTTGTTTTTGAGGCGGAGTTTCTCTCTTGTTGCCCAGGCTGGAGTGCAATGGTGTGATCTCTGCCTGCTGCAATCTGTGCCTCCTGGGTTCAAGCAATTCTCCTGTCTCAGCCTCCCAAGTAGCTGGGATTACAGGTGCCTGCCACCACGCCTGGCTAATTTTTGTATTTTTAGTAAAGACAGGATTTCACCATGTTGGCCAGGCTGGTCTTGAACTCCTGATTCAGGTGATCTGCCTGTCTCAGCCTCCCAAAATGTTAGGATTACAGGTGTGAACCACCATCCCTGGCCGTGAGACCACTTTTTTAGCTCTTGCACGAGTGAGAACATATGATATTTGTCTTTCTGTGCCTGGCTTGTTTCACTTAAAGACCTCCAGTTCCATCCACATTGCTACAAATGATATGATTTTATTCTTTTTTTTGCAGCAGAATAGTATTCCATCATGTATATATACACCACCTTTTCTTTATTCATTCATCCATTGATGGGCACTTAACAGATTGATTCTATTATCTTTGTTATTGTGAGTAGTGTTGCAGTAAACATGAGAGTGCAGGTACCATTTTGATATACTGATTTCTTTTCCTTTGGATAAATACCTAGAATGGGATTGCTTATAACAAATTATCACATGCGTCCCATAAATACGTACAAATATTTGTACCAACAAAAAGTTTAAAGAAATTTAGAAAGGAAGTATAATAATATTTCACTCTTGATTTTTATTGTCTGAAAAGGATGATTCATGTTAGCTAGTGCCTGCTCAAGAAACAAAAGGGCTGCATTTTTTCCAGTGCATCATATCAGGCGCACATGAAGTCATTTTGTTCAATTGCTGGTGATGTTAACTTTATCATTTGGTTAAGGTGATCTCTGCCAGGTTTTTCCACTATAGGGTTACTATTTTTTTTTCTTTGTTATTAATATATGTCTTGTGGGAAGTTAGAATGCTTTGAGGCTAAAAACAGGCTGTTTCTCCTCATATTTTCACCTACCTAATGCTGCTCTTTTTAGTTGAAAATCTTAATGTTCACATCTGTTGTTCTGAAATTCTTTGTTTGGTTACAAATATCAAACTTGTGAGCAGGAGACCAAACCTCCAACTCACAGAAGTCCTGTACATAACCACGTACAACATTGTTACCAAGATACACACTTGCTAGAGCTGTCACATTTCCCCTCTTGCCTTCTCCATTGCATTCATCCTGTATACCCATTCTTCCCTAGTTGTGCCAGCTTCCTGCATCAACTCCAGTCTATTCTTGCAGAGATGAAGGGCAGAAGGGAAGAGAAAAATGTTAATTTTGACCATAGAGGTCAATGTAAGAAGAAATTTGCTTTTTTCCATTACTAGGTTTGTGATGGAAAAGTGAACCTTTCCAGTTATCTGAGTTAGAATTTTGATCTGCTTTTACCCATAAAAGATTTTGCTGTGACAAATCATTTGTTCTGTGTTTAAAAGGCTTTTTTTTGGGGTCTATCTTGGAATTCAAGCAGTCTTACAAAGCAGTCCATTTGTGAGATTGCTTCTAAAGGGTGAATATGACCTTAGTTCCAAATAATGTATTTAGAGTTATACTTTTTTTTAACAAATCTCATTTATAAGCTTGGGGTTGCTTTTATATACAAATTATGCTTATTTTTAAAAAGAGGCTTATATACTTATACCAGGTATCACTTAACAGAATAATCTTCCAGCCCTAAAGTTATTGGTAATTTATTTATCTGATTATATGTGTATATGTTTCTTAAATTTGAGGTATGTAGTGTAGGGCTAACACCTAGTACAGTGATTCGCAAACTTCAGCATGCATCATAATCACCCAGAGGACTTGTTAAAATAGATTGATTGGGCCTCATCCTTGGAGTTTCTGATTCAGTAGGTCTTGAGATGGGACCTTAGAATTTGCATTTCTAACAAGTTCTTTAGTGATGTTGATGTTCCTGCCCAAAGACCAAACTTTGAGGATTCTTGTTCTAGGTTTAAGAGGTGGACGAGTGTGGTGGCTCTAGAATTGTCTCATATGAAAGGATACATTTTGCTATAATAACATTTTCTCTAATTGTAGACCACTAACATGCTCACTTGACATATGTTTTTGATAGCACCTATACATTTTTTTTAGACTTATTTACTTTTTTTGAGATGGAGTCTTGCTCTGTCACCAGGCTGGAGTGCAGAGGCGTGATCTCGGCTCACTGCAACCTCTGCCTCCCGGATTCAAGCGATTCTCCTGCCTCAGCCTCCTG